TTTAGATAAATTTAACAAATATTTATATAACCTAGCACGAAATATTAAGAAAAGATCAAAGAGATTCAAGAAAAAAACACTTTAAAAACCCTAAAATTCACTTTTCGCTATGTAAAAATATAGAAATTGTTTTGTTTTTGCATAATAAGCCTCGTTCTCGTGCAGTATGAAGGCGCGGCCACTAAGTTTCGCAATTGGTCTATATTGGTGAAATCAGCTACATTTTGGTACTAGCTATAATATTGTAGCTAGAATATTGAGCGCGAATTCGTTGCCTAAATAAATGAGGGTGTAAAAATTGCCGTCGGAATACACATTCTATAGTCGGAATATATAATGTCTGGTTTAGCTAAGCACGAGTTTCAACCGCTTAATTCGCAATTTAACGATATTCACCCCTAACGCAGATGGCTTGGGGTCTCTGTAAAGAACGGAAACCGAAACGACCGAATCCGGAAATGACCGAAACCGGAAACGACCGGAACCAGAAATTCCCGCCTAATTTCCCGCATAACGAATAATTATATTGTTGATGCTCGATGACTCGATCGCATGGCATATCATTTTAGATAAATATCGTCCAAATGTCGTAAGGTTGTATACTATTTAACTGCTGACAATTTTGTAAATTATTTAATAATCTTTATACTACATATTATTAACTTACTGAACAATGCTGGTTTTGTTTAATTTAATAAAACGATATTGCATTCACTTTATCATCTGACTTCCACTATATATATTAAAACTGGCACGCTCGTGATTTCGAAAAAATTAAATACATGCTCATTTAAACGCATTCAAAGGCCCAATTTATCTGACCGCATTTTATAGCTTCAAATATTCAGAACTTTGTTCTTTCAATCAGAAGTAGTACAAGTATTATTACATTCAATCAATGCCAATGGTAGTATTTTATTCGGCTTTTAATTTGTATGTGTATTGATTAACTCGTAATGTATTATCTGGAGCCTATATTTAATATATTGTGCGACTTGTTAATGCTTCGTATTATTGTTATATACATTTCTTTATCCTGATGATGACTGAAATATAGCCGAAACGTTGATAAATATAAAAATGTTATCGATCTTTGGAGTTACACTTGTTTTATACATTTCATTCGTTGTACATTTCACGCCCTGCGTCAATTTCAGAGCTGACAGCTATGGTTGACAGTCTTTGTTTATTATCCCAGTCGACGCCGATTGGTTCGCGTTTAGCAGTGCGGAAAAGGGATGAATGAATAAAACGCATGGTTCATTGGTTCCGTGCAGGCTCACCTTTTTGCCAGTGAGCCTGCTCGCAGGCTGAATTTTAGGCAATTTTAGGCGGGAAATTAGGCGGAAATTTCCGGTTTCGGTCGTTTCCGGATTCGGTCATTTCCGTTTCCGGATTCGGTCATTTCGGTTTCCGTTCTTTACAGAGACCCATAAATTTATATAAAAAACAAAAAAAGTTCATTTACTAAATTAGTACATATCTATTTTCATGATCAATTTTCATCTTTTGGGATATGAATTAGAAAACAATCAAAAATTATAAAAAATACTCCTTTGCTTTTTTTGGGCAAGATATTTACAACATGAAATTTAGAACAGTAACTAAATGTTCAAATTCAACAAAATGTGCAAGCCAAAACACAGTGCTTGTTCATCTTTGGAGTTTTTAATTACTTCAAATATATTTAAAAGGACATCTGGTACTAGAATTTATTTATTTTCAATATAAACCAAGGATGGAAAGGTGAGAAAATAGGAATTTTCTGAGGTGTTTTTAACACAGACAATGACAGCCGACATTTTCAAAGGCAAATTGCGGTGACAAAACCAAAAGTTATTCACTTCTCTACTCAAAACACTGAAAAACACCATAAAGAGAAAAACATTTTAAACATACATCAGGTAAGTCTTTTAGCTCAATTTTCTCATGTTTCTGTTTGGAAAGAAACGGTTTTTAGCCAAAATTATTTTGCGTGTCAATGTAGGCTGCTATAAAATGTCAGACACACGTTTTCTTTTGAAGTCTGGCTCTAAAAAACAATCGCTTTTTTTAGTTTGAAATAAGCTTTCTAAGGACTAATTGTGTAGAAATGTTATCTGTATGCTCAAATGAAAAAGATAAGCTAATATTCAGGTACTCCACATAGCTATAAAAGGGTGAAATAAGGACTTTCATCTTTGGTTGTTTGGCAGACATGAGAAACCACATTAGTGCCATTTTGTCGCGCATGCTATCTTATAAAATAAACACCTCAAAACCATATACTTTTAGTTCAGAAAATAACAAAGTTTCCCATAGACATTATTAAAAATGTTCTAGTGAAGCGATTTCATGATAAATAAGTGAGCTATGGGCCCAAAAGAACTGCTAAACTATGTTTTTGTTAGGACTTCAATTTCATGGCTTCCTGCAAAGGAAACCATTTCAGAGAGAAGCGGCATTTTGCAAGCAACCGTTGCGACCTATTTTTGATAACTTTTCCTTCTGATTCAACGTGTATAGTTACTAGAAAATGAGGTTGCATCAACATTATTATCTGCTTTATCGATTTAAAGTTTTACGGGGATATAAAACTCCATAGAAAAAGCATTTTAAAACCTTTAGAACTCAAGTGCAGACTTTTTGAAAATTCGCACGCGGCAAGCAAGCGCACTAATTCAATATACTTATTTTAAACCACAATATGTCTGAAATGAGTTGTCGTTTTAAGACTAAATTTATGAAAATAGATATAACAGTGATTTTGGAATATCCTACCTACTTAGTGTAATTTAATACTCGAAGTATTCTTGCCAAAAAGGGCACGTACGCACACAGTAATTTAATCTGCTGTCGTTTAAAACATAATTTAGCTAAAATAACAACTTGAGCAAGAAGACCAACAATTGGGTTACGAAAACAGTCGAAATTGTGCCCAAATTTGCATAAACAGTTCATCTAAAAAGATAACTTTAAACTAGATTCAACCAACTTTAATGCGGTCGAATTTTGTGAGTGTTTGATCGCATATTTCTACTCAAAAATACCATTGAAAATATCGTATCTGCTCACTTGAGTTCCGTGATCATCTTTCTTGTGATACACCGTTGAAAAGCTCGAATTTCACGTTCTATTTTCGTATCCGTTGCTAGGCAACCCGATAAACACGTGCTCAAATATCATGCCCGCAAGTTAAGGAGTCATGTTAGGGTGCATTCGGGCACATTGCCGCTTACCCCCTTGCCAAACTCAGGGTGCATTTGGGTGCATTGCCGCTTAATGAGTTAATAGCTTTAGCTGTGTAGTGGGGTTATTTTTAGCCGTTGTCTTGACAGCATAAAAATAACTGGGTTCGTCACTTGAGCTGGATACACGTGTATTATCTGAAACACCGACGACCGGCCTGATATTATTGTCACAGCATTTGTATTCCCGTTTTTATGGCGTCTTGGCGGTGTTCGAAGATCGACATTGTTTGGCAAAATGGTTTAACTTGCCACATTTTCTGCATTCTTTACCACAAGCAGGACAATTTCCATTTTTGTGTGGCCATTCTCCGCCACAATTCCGACACAGTGACATGTTTCTAGACTGTGGACGTGGTTGCCGTGTGTTTTTGCGTAGGGCACATACTTCCTCCTGTTCGCTTTGTTTTCGTTCGATGTTGGCCTCTTGAAAGCTGCTCATCTCCAATTGCCTACCAGCGATTAGTAGATCTTTGAGTGTCATTTTCGGGTCACATAAGGCTTGTTTTCACAGTCAGCTAGACGATCCTTTCTAGAGAATTTGGATCATAATCTCAAAGTCGGAGAACTCACATTTTTCTGCCAAGCTTCATAAGCGATTGTAGTATTGATCAATTGATTCATTGTTCTCTTGTGCCACTTGATGTAGTAGCCATCCTCGTCGCCAATGTGTTTTATTGATATTTATTCTGACTATAAATTGAAGCATGTGGTCGTCTCCATCGCTCGCTTTCTCTATCCCATGTGTCTGTTCATGTGACTACTTGTCCTAGTGACGTAATCACTACACTCGCCATGTAATTTCAGCCATATATTCCTGCACTCCAAGAATCTAGGTAACGTTACCGATGTGAAGTACTTCAATTTATCCGGTTTTGTTTTACAATTATAAATAATACATGAGATATGATCAGCCATTTTGCTAAGGGACGAACCATTATTTTTTTGGAGGGGGGGGATGGAAAATTCTTAAAAAAATTGTTTGCAAAGACAAAAAAGTGCAAATAAATTGTTTGCACACATAGAGAAGAGGAAAAAATAGTTTGCAAGCTAATGAGATTATGCAACATCAACCAAGGTTTAATAACAATGAGCAGAGTGCTCACCAACATACCCAGGGTCTTCACCCCAAAAGCCCTGGGATGGGAGATGCTCAGCACATGTCGCAATCTACATATGGGTTAAATATTAATCTATTGAATACAGTCATTTTGGGTTTTTTGGGTTTTTTAAAATTGTTTTTCTATAAAGTAGGTAATTGGATAAGTACTGGTGTAAGACATTGTGTAGCTTAAATGAGAGGACCAGTATCAGGGCCTATATAATTCATATCGGAGATTCTGTGCAATATTTTGGCTTCAACAAACAGGTACTCGTGCAGACAAAAAAGGAAATGCATACAGTTGTGAATTGTCGTATAATTCTTTACTGTCGATCCCAAACAATTTTGTACGTTAACACTCCTTCCTACCTGGTGTTGAATATAAACGATGATAACCTTTTTAAAAAAAATCTAGAGCACTATTGTCTATAAACCATTTTAGAATCAATAGAATGGACATTCAATGTCTATTTGGTTAGTGTCCAAGTGTGCAACGTTTGCTGTAAGACCAGCAAGGCGTAGCGCCTACGACCTACACAGTCGCTTTTGAGACCTCTATTTAACAAAATGTATACTGTTTCCATATGACAACAATTCAATGGCATATTATAAGAATATACATATCTGAACCAGAGCCAGATACAGAAACGTACACATGAAATGAAACTGCACCTGAACCTGAGACAATAAAAGGGCAAATCTTTCCAAGCATATACGATCATACGTTTTGGTTGCTTGACTTTCTGACTTGTTTGTTGCTATAAGAATCTACAGTTTAGCATATTTGTATAATTTAAAAGCAAACAAAAACTAATTTAACAATATGAAATTGGTCGAAGACCCGTACTCAGGAAATAAAATAACAACATAAAACGCTCTCTGAAAAGATCGACTAAGCAATGACAAACATGCACAAAACTTTCATCCCCTCCATTCTTCTCCATTGTTGCCAACAATTTAATATACGCGATTGGTATTTTCTCATTTTCATGTGTGACCAATGATACCAGAGAGCCCGAATCTCCAGGCAATGAAAAGGACTGCTCGCAATCTACATCTTTCACCAGCAGGACCCCCTTCGTTGTAATTCCTTCGCCAAGGTGGCAACAATCAAAACCTTGCAAATGTCCTTTTTTTGTCCCCGTTCTGTGGCCACTTTTCTCAACCACACAAGGGCTCTTTAGACTTTTGCTCTGTTTTATTTTCTTGACAATTTCCCTCTTCGTGAGTATTGGCATTTTGTGATTAACATCAGGGGTCGAGCACTCGCATTTAACATCAGGACCTTCGACGAAACAAATGTCGCATCTATCGTTATATTTCCCCCACAAAAATGGTCCCAGTTTGATTTCTTCGTAATGTATTATCTTTGCTGTACTATATTGCTGCAGTTTTCTTCATCAGCTTTCCTCTCCTCGCTCTCTTCGTTCCTTTCTTCTACGTCTTTTTGACTTTGCTCTTCTTTCCTTTCTCTTTTAGTTATACTCCAGAAGCTCGCCGTACGAGTACGCGAGTTCTTGTTTTTGCTGTCATCGGTAAGTATTTGGTGAGCTTCTCCTTTATCCTCGGGTAATTTGTTGCCACAGTAGCAAACGTGATAACACGTCGCGAGGAGAAGCTTGTCCGGGTTATTGTTATTATTGCATTAGGGTTATTGGTTATTTATTCTTAACAAGAGGCATTCACTTTGGACGTTCGTTCATGCGCAGTTGTTCAATCGTTCTCTTGTAATGGTTGAATAAATAAACCTTTGTGTGTGTGTATTCTTTCCTTTTAAGTGCCCATCCAGGGTCACAAGGCCTGGACATTTACTATATGTGACAATGGTAAATGAGCTCACGAGTGGAAGGAATACATTCGTTCGTTCGCTTATTATTATTAGGTATATATCTAGAAAAGGGTATGTATATCGCTGGAAACTCAGAGAGCGTTTTATGTTGTTAAAAACTAATTTAGCAAGTATTTTGAAGTATATATGATTCTCAAAGACGATTGTACAGAATGGTCACTCCTTGCAATCGAAGTGTGAAATGCGGAGGTGGAAACATGTAATTTGATACTTTTCCATCCCCCTCTTAGGTTATCAATTTTCTATGGTTCACGTGACCAGCCCCGACCAGGGTCTTACCTCAACAAGAGGGAAGAGCCTGGGAACGAGGTTGATGACACGCTTGTAGCATATTCTTGTCTATTAATTGCAGGAAATGCATGCCGACGTTCGTTCGGACATTCATGCTGTACGGCGGGTTGAACCATAATATATTCCTTCTGCGGTTCCTGCGAGGGGGTGATGGTTGGGAATATTCTAGTTTGCTGGTAAACCCACTACATTGAAGGGCGCTATCGTAGGTGGGGGCTGCTCTAGCGAATTCCTCGGGGTTGCATGAAAGCGACGAAACCCTCTTGGATATAGTCGATGGTAGCTGCTTAAGTATGGGAGGTGGATGGTTGGATTGAGAATTGATGTATGATGGCGGGTCATAGGAATGACAGAAAACGAATTCAAAACGCGGTACCGAAACCACAAATCATCCTTCAACAATGTTGAGCACGCTGGAAGTACAACGCTCTCGAAGTTCATCTGGGAATTAAAGGAATCCGACACAGCTTACGCAATCGAGTGGAAAATCCTTAAGCGTGCAAATGCTTATAGGAGTGGAGGAAAGATATGCAACTTGTGCCTATCCGAGAAAATCTGCATTTTAAATGCAGATAAACAATCACTACTGAACAAAAGATCAGAATTAATAGCTAAGTGTTGTCACGAAAGGAATTTTTACGCTTATAACTACAATCCACCGTAAAAGCACTTTAGTCTGATGATCGCCTTTGTGCGTGAAACTCGAGTAACTTTTATCATAAATAGGTTTAGGTTTTATTAAATTATCTTCAGATATCATGTCTTAGTCTACACTAATAATAGTTTTGCTCTGCAAAATCTTACCTGCATTGAGCACTCTTCAGATACGTGTCAGCATCGACAAACAAGATATATATATATATATATATGTGTGTGTGTGTGTGTGTGTGTGTGTGTGTATATGTGTATATGTGTATATATCTATATATGTATATATGTATATATATATGTATATATGTGTATATATGTGTATATATGTATATATATGTATATATATATATGTATATATATATGTGTATATATATATATATATATATATGTAGATGTAGATGATTAGGTGTCTGGGTTGTGATAAGGTAGACTGCAAAAAACATCACTTGGTGGAATTAATATTATAATGCTGTTTTCAGGTTTGTAATCCAAGTGAATATAGACCTAACTAGGAATGGCTGCGACGATAGCTCAAGGCTTGTAGTATAAACACAACTTATTTTATACATATGTCCTTTACTCCCTAATCTTACTGTTAGAATGAATTTAAACTCATTGTAGATAGCCAAGGTAGTTGATGAAGGGAATAGAGCAGATATTGCTAGCCAGATCGAGAATGAAGGTACATGTGTAGCATTTCGAAAGCTGGGTCAAATAATAGAAGGCAGGTTGAAACAGACGGTTGCAGTGAGAGAACAAAGAGAGGCATAGTGCAGAAACCCTAGAGGTAGCAAGGAATATTCATGGAAGAGGGGAAAGAAGTTTGAAGGCTCGATACACTTAATAGAAGATGCTCAGAAGATGATCTTGTTGGTGGTATTGTTAAATTCAAGAAGTTGAAGGAGAAGGTGTTTCCAAAATTATACAAGAAGGCAGTTCATCAGTTTGAACACACCAGTGAAAAATGTTGCGGTCTATAGCCGTCTATTATAGTACGGGGGTAATGGGTAAGATAAAGTATATGTCGGTATATAGGGCATCCACCTATAGTTATTCGGCTCATAAGAAGAAGGCTGTGCGCATAAGAAGAAGGCTGTGCGCATGACAGTTGCTAATTGCCCCATCCCTTGTCTTGTTCCATACCATAGGTTAACTGCGTATGTAAAAAGCATTGAGGTAGGTAAGCTGCACAGTGTTCGTGATACTCTTTGTGATGGCTTGGAGGAGAAAGACAAGGTAAGTGGCTGTTATCGCGAACTTGAGGAACTAGCTGGCTGAGTTCTATCTCTCCAATGATCTGCATGAGTTACTAACTTTCACTGAAACTAACAAATTTCATGTTGCTTTAGGTGGAGATGGGGCACCTTTTGGTAAGGATGATTCGGCATGTGCCTGGCTTGTAAATATTTTACATATCGGCCCGGGTGTGCTAAGTTCAAATGAAAATTTTCTTCTTTTTTTTCAATTTTCCAATTGCAGTGAGAATTGTGTCCCTGTAACACGGTTTTTGCAAAAGTTGCTAACTGACATAACAAGGATTGAGAACACAACTGATACTATTTCATGCAACAATGAGATAGTAAGTGTTACGTTTGTAATATCAGAATTACCTAATGACATGAAAATGCAATTTTTCTAGGGGGAGAACTGTCTAACAATGCTAAGTTTTTTCATCCTTCGGTAATGCCAACTTCGAGTCTGCTCGAAAAATCACATCATCATTTATTGCCGAACAAAAGAGTAGACAAGAGTTTGTCTCCATCATTGGGGAACTGATTGACTGTGCGCATGTTGACCCCCTGCACTTAAAGAATAATGCTTGTGCTCTAGCCCATCATTATATTCTGCATATTGCCATTGCAATGGATAACTTACCCTCTTCAGTTAACTGTTTTTCTCAGTTTTCATCTCTATCTCCATTTTTTAAGTATGTTGAAGCATTGCAAAATGTTCTCTTTCAAGGTTGGCTAACAAAGTGATAAGGTGGTTTAATGAAACCAATGGTACTGGTGAAGAATTTGATTACAGGTTCACAGACAAAGACTCATGGATGTTCTTGCACAATTTTATGTTTCTTACAGATATTTTTGAGAAAGACTTCACTGGTATGCACTCTAAACATCTTCATATTCATGCTTTTCTTTAACCTGAAGTTCAGGCCCTAATTTGAAATAGGGCCTGACACAAAACCTGTCTAGACTGTGGGATGCCCACATGTTATTTTTAGACACAACATGCAATATGATTGACAAGTGTTGTAGATTTCGTTACACAAAAAATTTATATTCTCATGAACATGTTCGCAGAGTTTGCATTTTGCTTTATAATTAAACTTAAAAATTCAAGGTACTTTTATATAATTATAAAGAGTCAATTTCTCTATTTAACCGGACAGCAAACAAATATTTAATTAGTCAGTTCTGTGCACAGCTTGACTGCCAAGCTTTCTCAAGGTCTCAACTTGCTGGACGCGGATATACTCTAACGGGGTAACAACAGCAACAATGAAATTCTCAATCGTACCACGAAGAAGGCGATGTAGCTCAGAAAACAACGCCTGTAGGACCTGATATTAAAAATAAGACTTTTGCCAATACAATGTGTATTTGCATTGTCGTGATTTTCTGCCGAAATGTTTTTCAATAGAAAAGTTAAGGCTACAAGAAGCACAGTACTGACTATTTTTTAATAGAGACTTATTGCCACTGCTGCTATTACACTTGTACAAGCAAATATTCTTTTCTTATATGGGGAAATTATGTTGTTTTCGCGATATTGATTATAGGTTCAAGTTTTTTATGTGTTTTTCCAAAAATGCAGCAAAATGTTTGTGACTCTGATATATGAATTGGAACAATCTGAGGTTGTAGATTGAGGTTGTCAATACCGTTGACAGACGTTTAGCGAAAGGACAGCACTACAGGCGTGCTTATCAATATACAGTGCAGATTTTACAAATACTTATTATCACCTCGACCCCAACCATGTAAGACGTGAAAACCCCATTTTTGTACCGGCATTCATTGTTTACATCTCTTCCATCCTTAAATTATGCTTCACTGTCAGGCGCCCAAAAAGCTGTTCCATGAACTGCATGTTACTGAGGCCCTGTTTACACTATACCAGATTCGCTGGTCACGACATCTTCTTTTGCCGTTACGGAGCAATGGTTAGTAGCAAATGCTTATTAGTTTGACAGAATTGACATGTTTATTTGGGTCTCTGAGATTAATAATCTTCACAGCATTTCGATACCTACAAAATCTGACCCGCTCCGATAGCAATCCGGTATAGTGTAAACGGGGCCTAAGCCTGGTCTCAATTCTCTCAATATCATACTTTATAAGTATATAATCTGTAAAAGAACCAATGCGATCCATCAAGTTTTTGTGATGATTTTTAAGGTAAAACAAATATTTATGGGGCAAGCTAATTAATTAGACAGTAAATACGTTTGACAAGGTATCTTATTTGGTAAATTTGAATTTATTTTACTATGCAATCATAAGAAATGGATGGAGTGTGAAATTTCATTGCGTTAGCATTATTTTGTATGATTTTCTGAGACGCTCGCTCAACTATTTGATTTAAAACGGTTTGTTGTGTGCAAAACTGGCTGTTGCACAACAACGCTTATTCGTATAGAGAAAGTGTTCAAATTTTGAGACCTTAAATCTTCGATAATTTCTCATTTTCATTCTTTTTAACATGTATCTCTCTACTCTTGTGCCCTTGACTGCATCTAATTATTGATGCGCACTTTTGAACTGTTATGCACGGCAACTGCACTTTGATTTTCTATCATTTCCGCACCCGAGATCTCGTCGAAAAGTGACCAACTCTGC